TGTAATCAATTATAAATAATAGAAATCATTTTCAATTTAATTTCTGCATATATTGGTTATAAATTAAAAAATTTGCAATAATGAAAGACTTCCTAATATTTAACAAGGAAGAGATGAAGTGATAGTTTACGTTTATACAATGACAAAAAATGTAGCACTGGCAAATTTTTTCAAACATATCATTTGAATGTTCCATTAACGCTATTGTTCGATTTTAAGGGTTTAGTTTATGGCTCGAACTGCCAATTCAATAGTTCAATGGATTAGTCTCTCGTCAGGATAACATTAAAGGAAATAATAAGTGAAAGGGCTGAAAAATATTATGTATTTTAGTAAAATAATGTTTATTATTTGGTAAATTATTATAATGATATTGCATATATTGTGGAGAGAAAAGATTATTATATTGCAGTAATGAGGGTGTGTCCTTGTATTCTTGATTATCGTAGATTCTATGGATATGACTGTGTATCTTGAAGTTGAGGTTATGCTGATGTTGTAAATATCAGCAGGTGTAGTCAATCATGCTCATGCGGTAGCATGATAAGATGGTGATTGAATAAAAAATGTTTTATATATAGAATAACTATACTTGATATGGTGTAAGATGTTTAATGGAACTGGGTAAGTAATCAATTATGTTTTAATTATTTATGGAGGCAGTAAAAAGACTAGTCACACACAACAGTAATTAATGATAAGTGTTCGTGCTGTTGATGGACTTAATGAAATGTATTTGTAGTCGATTATTCAATATATTGTTGTCTGGTCTTGACAATGTGCTTGACGAATTGCGTCGCCTGAGTCGACTCTTATGGGGTCTTCTCCTACGCCTGTACGGGGTCGAAATGTTAGTTCGAGAGAGAGACCGTAAGTTTGCCGGATCGACTGATGTGGGCCTGTACGGGGTCGAAGCGTTGGTTCGAGAGAGAGATCGTAAGTTTACCCGATCGATTCTTGTGCGAAGTGTGACTAGATTATTTATTAATATAAAAAATGTACCTTGTGAGCTGCAGACAAGGTGTGTTAGTTGCTGCGTAATTGATGTCCCCTTTGATTATTACTCCAACTTGCTTCACTGTAAATCACTACTAAATCTGTCAATTTCCTTTTAATAATGCATACGTATATTATTTAATGGGCTGTAAAATTTATAGCCACGTGTCGTCGTCACAGTATATACTAAAACACTGAGCTGTATTTACAGTTAAGTTGGCGCGAGATAGAATAACAATGAGCGTATGAGCCTTTGAATACGCGTACGAACCGAATGTTTGATCGTTCCTTGGCGGCTTAGCTGAAAATACCGACCGTTCCATGGCGGTCCTACTGAGGGCAGATCGAGACCCGTGTGCCATGGCTTCTACTGGTAGATGGTTAGATCGGTTCACTATGGTCGGTCACTGCGGTCAGGTCACGGCAATTTGTTAGCCGCAAGCGCAGTTCAGCGAGGGTGGTTCGGCAAGAGATGTTTAGCAAGAGAGCGAGGCACACTGCGTGCTTACCTTATATATCCACACGGCGGCTCGGTTAGCTGGCAACAAAGCATCGTCGTTGCTGCATTGGAATCTTACACGAGGCGTAGAAAGAAAAATCTAGAACTTTCGAGAATTCGACGAAAGAAAAGTAGGGCGTAATACCGATAGAAAACTTCCGGTCGATGTTATTACCCGAAGACCATACGGGCCACTTGAAACCAAACCATAAAAAGTAGACGAAAAATTCTCGTTCAAGTGTTTACAGAAATCTGAGATCTGAAAAGGCCGGCGATGCCGACAATCGACGGTCTTGGAACTGGTTTCAATCTCGAACAGCTGTGAAAAATGAAAGAAAATATTAAGATATCTTGATGATTGAATTTTATATGTTGAATAGGCGACAAGTTAGTTAGAAATCATTGACATTGATTCTGTTGATAAGCAATGAATTGTATCTTACTATGAGGAACTACAGCATCCATAATTACTGTAAATAGCTATTTTAATTAATTGTGTTCTTCATCCATTTGTGGTTTTGATACAGCTGTTGGCGAGTTAGAGTTTTTGCGTCTATAGAAGTGAATGTAAAGAAATAATATTTTAAAGCATAATTAAATAATATTTCAATATATCGATATATAATTTATCTATATATATATATATAAATTCATCAAATATAATATAATATATAATAATATTATATATATATATATATATATATATATATATAATAATAATAATAATAATAATATAATATATTATATGTATAGTATGTAATATAGTACTTAAATATAATTATTAGATTATACAAATAAAATGTAAATTTATACTGAGGTTCAAATGCAGTATAAACATTGTTACATTTTAATTATTTATGTTCTATATATAATTTCTATTTATTTCAAATTTTTGATAAACCAAATTGTTGCATAAGGATTTGCAGTGCGTACAAAAAGTTAAAATAACCAGTTTAATTAATGTTGGCATCTAGGAAGAAAGCCAAGAAGAATCTAATCAATATTCGGAATTCGGAAAATATATAGAATGAGTTTGTTTAATACTCACTACCTAGAGAAAAAGAAAGAAAGAAGCATATTGTTGGGGATCATTAACCCCAGATATCCCTATTGTATTTCTTTTATAGACTTACTTCAATAGTTATCATAAGATAATTGCACAGTATGGTAACGCGTATAGTATTACGTAGAAAGAGAGAGAAAGAAAGAGAGAGAAACCTCAATACAGTGAGGAGGGTGTGCTCGCGATATTGGCAAGCACGTTGGAAGAGCTATCACCCATTTATATTTGTTTAGATACTATCGTATACTCGTTCATGCACTTATTCGTTAGTTTGCACGTATACTCAGGAATCTGCTTACAAAATTACTTGATTGCATATTTATACGTATTTTTCTATTTTTAACGTAAATTTTTATTAATTATTTTAAATTAAAGAAAATATCAATAAAATTGTTGTATATAGATCTAATTAGAAAAAACGAGTTTCTAAAAAGCAAAACATGTTTAATTTTAACAAGATTCAATTTTTGAAACTTCGTTAATGGAATATTGAAAGAAGTATAATTAAATCATTAAGTTTCTGAAGAATGTAAATTTTAGGTATCCATAAATAAAATAAATATAGTACATAATCTAATAGAAATAAGAGACAAATAATGATGTATAATTTGAAAAGGATATTCAACTATTAGAAGCACATTTATTATATGAATAAATTAATTTCTAGTAATTTTGTATTATTTATTGTAATTAGAGAATTTTGTTGCTCGAAGTTCTTGTATTAAGTAGTTTATGCTATGGATCAGTGTGCGTATATACATTGCGTGTGTACATATGCACACACGGGTATCTGAACGATACGTTTTTCTTTTGTTATTCCTAGTATTTAATTAAAATTATTTTATAGAATTATTGCTATAGTTTGAAAGGACGTATATGAAAAATGTAAATTAAGAAACAAATATACATTAATAATTTATGAATAAATCATTCAAAGAATAAACAATGTTACTATCATACATTAATTACTTTTTATACCATCCCAATATCATAAAAATAAAAGAATCTGTACTGTAGAAGACAAAAGAAAATTTCTTTTGGGTTCTCGTACCCAACTATCTACTTGTCTTGTAATAAATTTATTTATGCCTTTATTACCCTTCAGTTGGTTTAACAAATTTCTTTTATGTAAAAGATTTTGTTATTTCTCTCATTATATTACAACCGAATAAAGTTTAGCACCGTCAACACATACTGCCATTTTAATTAGAATTATGATAGTAACATTGTTTATTCTTTGAATGATTTATTCATAAATTATTAATGTATATTTGTTTCTTAATTTACATTTTTCATATACGTCCTTTCAAACTTTATAGCAATAATTCTATAAAATAATTTTAATTAAATTATTTTTACGAATTATTTATTTGTCATATATAATTAATTTTTATAATATAATTAAAGAATTATAATAATTAACATATCGTGAAAAATATAATCTTAATTATTTTAATATTCTTTATTAGTTAAAAATAATTCATGATATATACATTAAATATTCGAGTAAAAATAATTTTTAATATTTTCCTGAATTTATACATATAAAACACGATATCAATATGATGAAAATTATATTATATAAAAAAATATTTTTTCATATAAAATTGTTGGCTAATCCTTTGAAATTGAATATTAATAAAATAAATAAAATCGAATTATTAAGAATTATTTAACTTATATGTACTGAATAATTACTTTATAATGTATTCATTAATTTTATTACAAATCAATATATTTAGTGAATTTTTTTTTACGCAATAATTTAAACCGAGCAGACATATTACTACCAATCAATATAAATTATTGTGCAAAATTTAGAAATTTGTGAACGTAGCTCTTACGATTTCTTTATACAAAATAAATAATATAATAAAATCTATTATCTATATTAATTCTGTAAAAGTTAAACGCCTCCTATTTGTTTATGGTTATATTTTTATTTGAGTAATTGAATCTGTATTTCACATCGTTTAAATTTAGTGCGTTTTGAATTCTTTTATACAAAGATAAACATTAAGATATTTAAAATTTATATAAATGTTTTAAAATATGTTTTATGTTATTTTTTAATCGATGGCAAAAATAAAACATTTTTTATGTACTTTTATTGAATGAAAGGTAAGTAGCAATAGGTTATAATACAAATATGTTGATGATTAATTTTTTATTTTTATTTTATATTTTATATATTATTATTTTTATATATTATTTTATAATGATTTTTATTTTATTTTATAATTATTAATTTTAACATTATTAAACTGAATCCTAAAATATCAATATTTATATTACTGTAAATAATAATATTATTGAATTAATGGTTATAGATTTTATAAAATGACAACAGTAAAGTTTCAAGATGGTATTGATATTTTACGTCTTCCTGTATGTGAGCAAGAATATATTTATCAAGCTTGGTATATGAAATATACACAATCGCACATACTTCATTCAAAGTGTTCGAAAACTGGACTAAATATTAGTAATTGTACAGATAATAAAAATGCTTGTCAATATTGTTTGTATGTAATATCTTGAATATTTAATAATATTTTCAATTATTTTAATTTATAAATAATAATTTTAGATATAATCGAGTTCTTGAAATGCCACACATGCCAGATATGGTTTTCCCAAATAATATACTTTATTTAAAACATAAACATGGAGCAATTTTAGAATTTTATGCTTTGGATGCCTTAAAAAGAGTGTCAAATGGTAAAATTAATATACAATTAGCTTGTGCTGAAGCTTGGAGAGAATCCAGGTAAAAATTAGTTACATATATTTCTAATAAAATTAGTGATATATTTATAAAAATGTATAATAAATAATTTTGTATACCTATAATTCAATAGTATATATTAACTTTTAATTATTATAGATTGGATAGTAAAGAATACATGAAAGAATCAATAAAACCTTTTGACTGGACATTTACCACAGATTACATGGGTACAATGTCAGGAATTCAAGTTGAAGATACCGACGAATGTATTGATATAGAAAAATTAAAACGTAAAGATAAAATTTTGTTCTATGTCGATCTTACCCTTTTTGAAGATGAGTTGCACGATAATGGAATAGCATCTTTATCAGTGAAAATGGTTAAAGATACAATTATTTAAATTACACGTATTGCATGAATATATTGCTTATATATTACTTATATTTAAATAATTATTAAAATATCTTCTTTTTCAGCGAGTGATGCCTGGAACTTACTTTATTCTGCTTCGATATTTTTTGAGAATTGATAAAGTAATGTTGAGAATTAATGATACTCGCATTTATCATGAATTTGGCAAAGATTATTTATTACGTGAATATACATCAAGAGAAGCAAGGGTCGAGGAGATAACTGTATGTATTATTATTATCAAATTATAAATATTATTAAGATGATATTAAGTTTCTTGTTAATTAAATTAAAAATAAAAACAATTCTGTACGTATTTAATTTTGCTATAGTTTCAGAGATTAATTTTGACATTAAAAATACATTAAAATGTTGTAAAACACTCTTAGAACTGTAATAGAATTGTTGTATAATATTCTATCATAAAATATTTTAATTGCTTTAAATTAAAATTTGCCAATTCTCATAGTTGCACCTTAGAAAATTATTTAATTCTTTGTATTTCGACAGTTAAGATGTAATTAAAATGTTCAGTTTTATATTTAATTTTTGAAATAATACAAAACATAAAATATATGAATATTCTAATTTCAATTATAGATTAGTATATCTTTGGATTTCCTATATAATTTTCATTGATCCTTTTTCAAAACTTTTATAAAATCTAATTAATGGTATTCAATACAAATAAATTGTAACAAATAATAAATAGGAACTATTTGTAACCTAGTTTTATAAATTAATGTATTAAAGCCATGTGACAAATGTATTAATTACACAAGTTATGACATTTTCTGATTCAAAATATTAAGCCTTTATATTTTTTAATAATAATCACTTATATTTTCATACTATTTGTTAATTATTTAAATAAATGCCTTTATTTATAATAATTATACAATTAAATAATTTATACAGATATTTGTACATGTACGTTAAGTTAGAATTATATTTAACAAATTTAGTTTCTAATCATGTATTTGATTATTTATTTATTCCAATTATGTTATGATTTAACTTAATATTCTTAATCATTTATAACTTAATCTTTTTTAGGTTTCTCCATCACTTTTTGTACAACCGAATGAAATTGCACCTTATTTGCCATTAGTTTGTAAATACAATCATAAATTAATTATATCACAGAATTCAGAACATCCTTCAATTAATACAAATTTATCCAATTCGACTTGCAAGTGATTCAGATTTTATAATAAGAATAAATAATAAAGTTAATGTAGATTCATTAAAATCAGTATATATAATATCAAATTAATATCAAATCCAAATTTATCCTCGTTTTATTTTATTTTACAATTTATCTAATGATATGAAGTTGATGAAATACGCTTATACAAAAAAATTAGTAACTTTATTATTTAAAATTTTGAGAAAAAATGATTTCATATTTAATTTATTAAATAGTAAATATGTAATAATTAATTTTTTATATTTATAAATTGTAACGAATTATGAGTCTTAGAGATGTATATCTACGATATCAATACGTGTCGAAAAAAAGGCATAGGATAGAAGTATCGTAAAGATAAAGTGAGAACATTTTTCGAAAATGAATTATTGATAACAAAGAAAAGTGAAAGAGTACTGTCAAAAGCGAGTTAAAAGAAAGATAGAAAAATAAAATATAAAAAGAAAAGGCTAAAGAAAATTGGTGTAAAAAAGATAAACTATTATCGGTGCATACTTGTAATCTTATAAATCTATCCTTGTAAATTCATTATTCTAAATGTATTACGAAAAATAAACATTGTTAATTTTTGAGTTGGTTTTTTATTTATTGTAAAAAATTACCCTTGATTATCTTATACATGGTCTTCTTGCTATACATCCATTTAGCTACTGGAGTCGAGTGCATTACAAGATACGTTAGTACATAATGGAAATGAATGAAGTTTGATTGTCTAACTCACGACGAAATGCAGTTAGATATGACACCAAATTTTCGTGGTTGTAATAAGGTTCACTGAATCTGAAACATAACAAAAGTAATAAAATTGAATATCAGACATATATATAAATCTACAGCAGGAGAAACATTTATTAGTATAATATAATTTTTTTATTTCCATATGAATATCGTAATAATATCAGAATGTTGCCGAGATATAGTATTATATTGGACGATCATAATAATAGTTTTATAAGGAGTTGAGTTATATAAAATTTAACTAATTCTAGGTAAAGTAAATGTATATGGTTGTCTCAACTTTACTTATAAAATAACATAAATAAGTTTATACATTTTAGCACCAACATAGTAATATCAGAATGTCACATCTAGTCAAACTATCATCATTAGTTGTTTCAGAAAGTATATTAACACGAAGTTTTTCTTTGGTATAGATTTTGTAATTCTTTTTCAGTAAAATTTAAAATTTAAGAACAAAGTTAAAAGTGTATTTTTACAGAAAAAAAGAACATAATACTATAATATTTTCTCCTATGCATAGGTAATTTAATAATGTACATAATCTTAGGAAGAATACTTACCAGATCCGATTTGTATGTAAAATAAAATTTTATTTTATTTAACTAAATTATCTTAGTTCATTTCAATGATTTTTTTCAGGTATAGGACAATATATATATATATATGCTTTTCTTCTGGTAGGAATGCGTAAACAGACTTTAGGATAAAGTATTTATATGATTATCTAAATGATGTAAGACAAGCTTATTACAATGACACTTGTTCATGGTTCAAGAGGTACTTGATTTTTTATATAAACTAATTCCTAAACATTCATAATAGAAAGTATAGCAATGAAGTGAATTTAAAAATTTAAAAATTTTTGTTTGGATTGAACATTTGATTTAAGAAACATGTTACATTAATGTGGTTGCAGCTTTGATATAGATTTAACAAGGTACTGCAAGGCCTAGTTAGGAGATTAGATGGCTTCCTCATCATTTAGGTAAATTGATCTTTGAAGGAAAAGTTATGTATTTTTAAAAGTTTTCAAAGGACCATATACAAGTATTAATATTTGTTCCACTGCAAATACAGAAAAGACAAGGAAAAACATTGGATAAAAGTAGGAGGAAAGCGTAACAATAAAGATAAAAAAAAAAAAAATAAATGAAACTTACATTATAAATACAATGACAGCAATAATGTAAAATATAAACTTTTTTGGTCATTTTTGTCAAAAAATATATCATTGCCCTTCAATCACGTAGCTCATAATCATCTTACTTTTTTAATTTATAGTTTATTTTTAATTTAGTTTACTATTAGTATATATATCTTTGAACATACAAATATATTTTTAATTTTGGTTATTGTTTTTTAAAATGTTACTTTACGAAAACTATATTTGCATTAATATTGAGATATTTCTTACTAATAGAATATGTCAAATGTATTTTATTTGTGATGAATTAATAAATGCATGTTTATAAGGTAAACAAATTAAAAAAAATCATTTAAAATTTTAGTTAATTTAACGATAATATAAATATTTAATCTCGAGTTTTATTTTCAGTGGATTTGTTGTATTTATATGAAGAACTTTCATATTTTCGTTGATCCTTAATACGAATGAAGCTTTCTCCCTCTTTTTTATCATGTTTTACTCTTTTTCTTTGATGTCTTTGTTCTTGAAAATTACATTGTGATTTTTTATTGTGTTTATTTTCATTAGATTTACTCCTATGATGCTTATAATGGTGTGTGTCCATCGAATTGTAATTTTTATTATAGAAGTCTTTTTTTTTCTGTTTACGATATTGAATTTCTGATTCAAAATCTTCAATATTACAATCCTCATATTTATCAATATTATTACTATGATTATGTCTCATTGAAGAATTCTGAGAGTCTCGATCTTTTAATGAACTCCTATAATTATAGTTTTTGTAATAACTAGAATATTTATAAATACTATTGTGATCTTTGTTAAGTCTAACATTCTTTTTAAATTTGGTATTAAGATTTTTTAAATCAAATTCATTTTTATAATAATTTAATTTACTATTTTCAATAAAATCTTTTTCACTTTGATTTGAAATAGAATATTCAGAAACTTTTTCATTTGTAATTTTATTTTTTTTCTCTTTGTTTTCGACTTCATCGTCATTAGAATAAAAATTACTTTTTTCAGTATTTTCACAACTAGAATTTCCAAATTGTTTGGAAACATGCTCTTTGAACATCTCCATTTGTTGTTGAACAAGTTCTCTTAAAATTTCAGTATGGGACTTTTTATTTGTATGAACTCCTCTATGTTTAGCTCTACGCCGTTTTAAATTTCTTTCTTGTGCTAAAAGTTCTATTATAGGTATACATTGTTTATTGGTTTTTCTAAAATCAAATATAAATATTTTTTATATTAAGCAATTTATAAAAACGATTTTCAAACATACTAAGACTTACTCTGGTTTATTAATATTTGTAATATCTTGACCAATATTAGGTGCAATAGTATTGGAAACTACATATTCATATAATATCTTACGTTCATCAGTAGTAAAATCACTCATAAATCTATCTGATGTTTGAGGAATTAATTTTTCATCTATACCTATTACCATTAGAAGAAAAATATAACTTCAAGATAACATTAGGATTTTAATAAAACAAATAAGTAAATGAATGATTAATATAATTGTTTGAAATAATAAAAAAATATTATTTATTTTAGTAAAGGATATGAAAAAGGATATGATTCCATGATGTAAATAATATTCATAATATTCTGGAAAAAATTATAGCTGTTCAATTATGAAAAATAGAATAAAAATATTTTCGATATCAACAATATTTATAAGATTTTAGATAAAGAATGACTAACCTATGTTTAATTCTGGATCTTTTTGTTTTGCTGTCTGTAATATTTTATGTTGTAGTTGAATATCTATAATATACCAATATAAATTAAATTAAGTAAATTTTAAATTTATTAAAATAATATTTGTAAATACAATATTAATTATTATAAATAAAAATGTAAAATTTTAAAAACAATTCTTACCAAATTTTATAGATGATGGATCATCTGATAACAGTGATGATTCAGAAAATGGAATACAGTCCCTAGTGTACCCAAGAGTATTCCATTCGCATTTCTCAAGATGATTTTCAATCGTTTTTTCAGGAACTCTGTGAGCTTTATTAAATGGACAAGTAATATGCGAATAATCCTGAATATTTAAAAATATAATTTATTAATTTAAAAATGTCATAATTAATAAAAGCTGATTTTAGGTTATTAATTAATTTACATTTTTATTGATATTTTGAAAATTCCAATTTAACTGTACACAAGTTTCTTTTAAATATTTTTCTGTATAATTTATAAAGTCTTCTAACTCTTTACAATATTTTTCTTTTGCGAATTTTTCCATATTTTATTATTTTAAAATTAATTTTTAATGTACTAAATTAGAATCATATTCCATATATCGGTATGGAGTGTAGATAGTACGTCTTTAGGCATGCGCAATGCAAGTTAATTTTTAACGCATACGGTGCTTGAAATATATTTATATATTGTAAAGTCAAATATACAATTGTTACAATCTCATTGTTTAATATACAAGAATAATTTAAATCAGGATTGAATGCTATTATCTATAGTCTTGGTGATATTAAACTTTACGTACGCCTAATGTATTCCACTTTGATTATCATTTGATTTTTCTTTAGAAAAATACAGATGAGATACATAATTTAATACTTATACTTGTCTTATAATAAAATAATATCTATAAATATCATTTGTATTTGTAAATCTACATAAATCACCACTATTTGGATACATTTACTCATTTCATATATATATTACTAAAAATAATATATAATTTCTTTTTTCATTATTAATTAGCCCAGCAATATATGAATATAATTTTTTCAAAAAACAGTACTGTTATATTGTGACTTTTTACTATACTAAATCAGCTTCATTATTAATATAGACATACGTTTCAAATTTCATATTTCGTATGACATTGTGAGCCAATAAACGTTTTTTGTGCATGGTTTAAATGAATTTTTGCTTATTTTTGTAAAAAATGAGGTGGAAAAGATTATTGTATAAATATACTTCTAATTTGTATATATCTTTATTTTCTAGATCAATGAAGTACTACCTGCTTGATTAGATCAATTATCTATAAAATTTTACATAAACATATTATTTTTAATTATAGGTTTACATAAAAATTAAATCACTTAATAATTGAAAATAATAAGCAAAATAAAATTAAAAAAAGTACAGTATTAAATACATTTATATTAATAGATATATATAAATTTATAGATATAAATTGACATTTTAATAGTTAAAACTAAAAAATAGAATAATAGTAAAAAAATGAACATAAATCATGGAACATTCGATGTAGTGATTTATATTTTTTAAATAGTTGTAATAAAATAAAAATGTAATATTGTTATATTTATTCGTATTAAATAAATCACATAAAAATTTAGTCAGATAAAAAATTATCATATAAAATTTTTCCATAATATAAATTAAAAATTTTCAATATATTTTGATTTAATTTAATTTATGTTTTATTAATATAATGATCTCAGATCATTAATTTAAATATCTATAAATCATTTTATATTATTTATTAGTAAAGGAATATATAATATAATATATTGTGTGCATAAGTTTATTAGGTAATGAAAGAATGAGAATAATTCTCAATTATTAGTGATTCTGAATTATATTTTCCTTAAATATAAATCTACAATAAATTATAAATAAAGAATATAAAAAAATTTTACTTTTACTTTGTATTTATAAACAATATTATAGTTGCATATGAATCTATGATATATTATACTTTATTTATTATTTTACATAACCTATTATATTATGCATATAGTGACAGTTGATTATAAACTATTCTATATTTTGGATTTATTAAATGTTTTGAATACATTTAGTAAATATGTAATGCCAAATAATATAAAAAATTGTATATTGATGGATATAAAATGATAACTTATCAATTAATCAATTTGTCTCAATACAAATTAATTGCAATTATTGAAATACCTGTAGCAAATGTTCTATATCACTTTATATACGACTAAATATTTATCTAATATGTTCACTAAAAGAGTTAAATTTTTTTAGTTAAACTATTTTTGTATATTTATTTAATAAATGTATTGTATCATTTTAAACTAATTCCTATCAAATAGATCTACTAAAAATGCAATTTTGATAAAAATTCGTTACTTAGTGGGTTAATATTATCTATTTTATTTAATAATGGAATTATATATATATAGAAACATATGAAATAGATAAAAAAGCAATAATTAATACCATGAATTATAAATCTACTGATAATTATTAGTAAAGATTTAGTTAATAATAAGTATTGAGACTGCATTTCAATAAAAACGGTTATTAGTTGATCGTATTTTAAAAATGGATTGATAATTATATACTTGGAAATATTTTTATAAAGTGGATTTGATGTTTAACTGAAATACTATATTCTTTATTTATTTCAAGAATCCATTGTAGTTGATTCTAAGCTTAATCCAGACTTATGCATAGGAAATGTTGAATGAAATACTGTGTAATAAATTAAGAAATTTAGAAAATGTTATATATTATGTTATACATGAAAACTATTTCATGTATAATATAATAAAATAAAATTTATTTAAATTTATAAACAGCTCAATAATTTGTCATAGAAAAGTTTCTGTCTTAAATTTCTTCAGACTGTAATTGTAGTTGCTAAGTTGTTAATTATTATTTTATTTTCATCAGGATTAAAAGAATCTTAAGATAGAAAAATATATTTCGAACAAATCTAACAAAACTTATTTGAAGCTGTATAATCTTTGTTATAAATTATAGAAATAAACAGTTGCCTTATATTATTATATTCAGTTTCAGGTTAAATATAAAAGCTACTTTTAAAAATATTGGTTTTATGATTTTGTATAAACAAAAAATATATAAAATGAATATCTTAAAATATATCGAACAATTAATGTCTAAAGGCTTTCAAAATAAATCATAATATAATAATACAAGTTTAACAAATGTATTCACTTTACAAGAGAAATACTAAACTATAAGATGGTTAAGAAATAAATATGTGAAAAAAATTTATAGTTAATTAACGGTTAATAAACATACACAATTTAGTAAACAAATTAATTAACTAATGGGATTTCTTATAAAAATATAAATTAAATTAATATTTGATTCATAAAATAAATTAATAAAACACTTTTTAAAGAATTTCTACATAAAAACATGTATAAAATTGATATTTAGTAATTAATTAAAAAGTCCAAAGGATTCTAATAAATATTGAAAAGTATATTATTATGTTAAAATAAATAGAATCTGACTGTAATTTTGTTAGAAGTGCAGAAATACAATTATGACTACAAAAGTTAGATATTAGAAGTGTAATAATTGTAGCTTAGCTACAAAGTTATTTATATTCCATAATTAATATCTTCATATTTAATTTGACTTTAGAAAATACGATTAATTTAAGTATTATTTTTTAATTTTTATAATCCAATTAATTAGATTTTGATTGAGTATTGTAAAAATTATAATTATAATAATAATAAGAAAAGAAGTGAAATTAAATTCTATTGTTAGTTTAGTAGTAAAAAAATAATAACAATTGGAATATATTAACTAAAAAAAGTACAATTTATAATTTTAGGTAAAGTTTTTTATAAATAAATTTAGAGAGGATTCTAAAGTTGAGTGTAAAATAGAACTTTTATTGATGTTATAATACCAAAGTTGATCACCAAAGATAATGAAAAAAAGCAAATGGACACAATCTTGAATTTCAATCTCACCAATATCGAATAATTTGAATAAAATATTATTATTTTTAAAATAAATCTCTTTTACTTTTCTCTATAAAATGATATTTTTTCACACATTTTTGGTAACTACTTTCAGCAGTCAGAAGTAGAATGAAGAATTTACATATTAAAAACAATAAATATTTTTCAAGCTTTTAAAACTTATTTGGCAAATATAAATAAACTCGAAAAGCACATAAGCATTATTCTTAGCTATTTGGTTACTGATGATATATATTGAAGTAAGATAGAACGTATGGTAAAGCAGATTGAAGCATTTTCAGCAGTGCTTAGTTGTTATGATGTTATTTCCAATAATAAATGTGTAGTATACATATGAACAGATTTTATCGAATATGTTATATCTCGAATATTGAATTATAATAATGTAATTATTCATTAATATCAAAAGTAACTACCAATGATATTATTTTTATAATACAAATTTTTAATTTGCTTTATTAAATTTAACATTATTTAACAAAATATATCCTTAAAATTATAGAATTTTATTTGTGCATGAAAGGGAATTGTTATATCTAACTTGACAATGAATATAGTATAGACATTAAATTACTATAACTTAATATTATTTATTACGGAAATTTCTTATATTCGATAGGTTAATACTATAATGGGTACTGTTTGGAATTGGAGCATTTTTCAAGAATTTAGGTTCTCGGAAATGTATAAGCCTTCTAGCTCTCTAATTTTGTAAACATTTAACTTCGAGAATTCTCGAATATTCCAAAGCTTTACCTTCGAGCGTCCTATGATGTTTATCTAGTCTCCGCATAATAACGTCGGTTGGAATTCTTTCATTTTCTAAAGCATTAGACTCCAATATTATGCAATTTTTTCCGCATAGCAACACGTATGCATTGTTGCCAGCTATTTAAGCTACCGCGTGGATATTTAAAGCAAGCACACCACGAGACAGCGCTTATAGTTACTCAGCCAGGAAGCCAGTCAGTCATGTTAGTCAGCTAGCTAGCTATTCGCCATACACTTTGAAGCTAAGGCCACTGAGGAAGGAAGATGCTGTGCTGCAAGATAAAGGAGTTGACACTGTCCCTTTCAACTCAATAAAGTGCTAGACTAAAACCACAGTTAATTCATACATACGGAGCATCCGAAATAGTGAAACTAATCAGCAATATGAAACATCCCGGATGGTGGAGGTTCAACACAGAACAGGTCCAGACTACTGTTTCTTTGTGAGTAAACCAAGTTTAAGACATAAATCATTGCTAACCCTTACAAGATTAGTATGATACTATTATTAATATAGTACAACTATACTAAAAGTGTGCATAATCAGTTACTGATTCTTACAAAATCAACAGCATCACAAAATATCTTGTGTAGATAGACTATTCATTACAGAATCAGTTTAAACAACTGAACAACGTGATTGCACATAGTATATACCCTTCCATCATATAATTCCAACACAACAATAATGTAATTGTGAATAAGCTTTAATAAACCATATTAAACGAAGTGGTTGACACTGTATTAATGTAAACCCCTTCTACTTGACTCATTCCCAAGCATCCGCAAGGGCAGGCGGCAAATCATAATATGCTATCGAACTTGGCAGTTCGAGCCAGAAAATCACACGCTTTTGAACATTTGGTTTTTCGAGCCGGACCAGTTCAACGGATCAGTGTAATTTTCAAACAGGTACATAAATATATTTATATTCTCTATTAATATATAAGTCAAGATCGGCTTTTAAAATGATTATGTGTTAAAATTATCCAAGAAATATTTTACAATTACACACAAATGATAAAATAATTATTTTTAAAAAGCTTTCCTTCATCGTTTAAATTTTCTAAGATGTATTGGAATATTAAATAAAATTATATAAGATAATGAATACGAGTGTATTTTCTATATATATATTTAATGAAATAGTATGTTATATTCGTGCTCTCTTTATTATCGTGTATTTTTTAATTTGTAAGTGAATACTATAGTACGTCACGACAATTTATAGGTATTATCGGGTATTAATTTCAATTGCACCTGTAGCGTATATTCAGTTAAAACAACCGAACGTCTATGTAGAATTGGTCAGACCAAAATAGGAATAGTAAATAAAATAGAGAAAACTAATAAAATGAAGGGAACGAAACAAGCATAAGCGAATGAAAAAGAAAAGTGAATTGAGGGAAAGAAAAGGAAAAACGAGTTCACATCTTATGAAGCTAATTTACAAATGAACTATTTTAATAAATTATGGATCATATATTAGTAGAATCAATTTGATATATGCATGTAAATCTTTAAAATGAGAAATAAGCTCCGTAGTCGTAATTTCCGTTTTCATATGTCCAGTAACATAATTAATATGTAGTAACTGCATCATTATAGAATATACATGATTATAAAATTTTCAGATGAAATTATAATCGATAATATTTATATAAATAGTAAAAAAAAAATAATGCAACACTTATTTGTGTATATTACTTGTAATTAAACAAAATCTATGTATAGTATTTTAGTATTTATAAAAGATTTTTGCATAAAATGTAGAAAAAATGTATATACACATTTACACACACGCGCGCGCGCGCGCACACACACACACACATATGTATAATCTACAAAATAAAAACTTTTAAAATTATGTCCTGTATAAGTCTTATAGATATGAGTTAATATCGTTTAATGACCACAAATAATTGTTGATTCGTTTAAGCATAGGCAAAAAAGGAATAAATAAATGTATATATATATATATAAAAGAGATATGTAGATAAATAAGGAAATATATAAGAACATACATATATTGGATGTATACATAAGAGAATTGATGGATAGATACATTTTTTCGGAATTAAATATTAAGAATACATTGTAAAAAAGAGGGATAAATATCATACTCTGACACAATGAAATTGGTTATACTTCTGATTAACTCTGTTTTGTGTTCTCTATTTCTTGATCTCTTTTTTACAAGTTGTTCAGGATTGAAGGAATTTCCAAGACCGTCGATTACCGTCATCGCCAGTCTCTCTAGCTCTCAGGTTTCTGTAAACACTTTGGACGAGAAGTTTCGTGTCCTTGTTATGCTTTGGTTTCACATGGCCTACAATTTTTATGGTTTTCGAGTAGTAACGTCGCTTGGAATTCTCCAAGTTTTCTCCAACTTTCTTGTTTTTGCTTAGAATTCTCGAAACTTCTGGATTTTTCTTTCTATGCCTCATGTAAGATTCCATTGCAACAACAACGATACTTTGTTGCCAGATAAGTAAGTTGCCGCGTGGATATATAAGGCAAGCACGCGGCGAGGCTCACTCTCTTGCTGAACTTCTCTTGCTGTGAACCTCTTGCAGTGACCCGACCACAGTGAACCGATCTTACAGTGAACCCTCTAAGTGAAGAAGCCATGGTACGGAGCTCAGTCACGGTATGTTTCAGCAGAGCTGCACGGAATGATCAAGCCTTCGGTTTTCGTGCGCGTATTCAACAGGCTTATAGTTTTATTGTGTATCAGTCAGTCTACAGTTATAAGTTATTACGTTATTCAGCTAGTATTTTTTGCCACACAGCAGTCGCTCAGTTATATCACACAATGAAGCCATCAAAAGGGACACAAGTCTAATTGTCAAGCGTGCCACACATATACAAGCAGTCGAGCAACTTTGAGATTGAGACAAGACAGTGTTTAACTCTTTTCTATAAGAAGTGTCTTTCGAATTAACTAAAAGAGACCACTAGATGTTATGTGGGGAAATGCGTAGGCAAGTGGAATGGTTAGTGCATTGTTTCAATAGTTAACACATATGTTTCTTATTGCTGTTTATTCCGTCTATTTTCCAAATACAGGGATGATTATTGTTAATGAAGTTAAAGATGAACTTTTGTTACTCTTTGGCGATTGGAAAGTGGCGTTAATGTGCACTTTTGTTGGAGATAGGAGGTTGCAAAGTTCCTGATCCTCGTGACGTGGTGCCTTTGATGGTAGGTTACCCTTGATTCTGGGAATTGGCTTTGAGTTTAAAGTATGTTGTGGAGCCTGGCACTGGAGATACCGTGCGAGATTGAAGGCGAAGCACCTTGATTGAGAAGCTTATTAGCGAAGCTTGGAACTATGAGTGGTGCGCTTGGACGCGAGTTATAAATTCCTCTAAATAAGTGAGTCGTACGTGGGGGCACGAGCCTTGAAATGAAGAAAGGATCCACACGGAAAATATACTAAATGATGCAAAGTAGGCTTCATGCATGATGAGCATGGGCGAAAATCTCCTTGGGCACAAGCTGGCGACTGGAAAGACCGTGTGGGATTGGTGGTGCGAAACATCGTTAATTGAGAATACTAGTAATGAAACTTTACTTCAGACTTAGCTTTTTTCTCCTTGAGCACGAGATTATTTTAGTTGGATCGGCAAGGTGGGCACTGAACGGCGCGATGATAGGCTTCCTGCGCGTGGGACAAGAGCGAGTTCTTCTTTTGGGCACACGCATTGAAATTAGTTAGGATAATGTTGCGTTTACCTTTGAAACGGTTTTGGCCCTGGAGTATGTTCGGTGAACTGGCTTCTGGAGACACCTTGGGCGGAAGATGGTGGTTATGGCACAGTGAATTGACGAGATTACAAACAAAGACATGGCTTCGGACTCAACTGTGGGGACTACCCCTTTCTTGGTGACTTCAACATGAGTGACTGAATGTGTTTGAGAATGAGAGACTCCTTTTCTTAAGGCAATAAAACATCTGGCAAGTAATATCTTGAAAATTGTATTTAAGATTTCAAAACTTTCCTGCTCATAATTATTTTGCACTAGTGTCATAAAACATCTGGAAAACTTTAGCGAAACGTGCTCATACTCCCAGTGCAGTAGAACTTAATGGGTTTACTGGCGCGAGAACCCCAAAGTAGATTTAGAACGAATATCAGATATGCGTGAAGCATTGAGTACAAATATTTACTGCAACCGAAAACCCGTACGTACTACGCATGCAATGACCATACGTGCGCACTCGGCCTTTAAGACAA